TTACATGGCACAAGCTAAAGTGGTCTTGCACATAGTGATGATGAGTTTGTAGCTGAATTGAGCATCACTCTTAGTCACAGACTCACTGAATGGTTTGGGTTGGAAGCAACCTTATAGCCACCCAGCCCCAACCCCTGCCATGGGCTGGTTGCCCCACCAGCTCAGGTTGCCCAGGGCCCATCCAACCTGTCCTTGAGCAGCTCCATGGATGGGGCATCACAGCTCTCTGGGCAGCTGTGCCAGGGCCTCACCGCCCTCATCATGAATTTCTTTCTAACATCTAACCTGAATCCACCGTCTTTTGGTTTGAAGCCATTACCTTTAAAGCTGTTAGCCCTTGTTTTATCACTACACTCTCCAATGAAGAGTACTTTTTCAGCTTTCCTGATTAGCAGAATGATTGTCATTGCCACTGTCCCCAGCATTTCCTTAGAATGCTGAATAGCAACATTTTGAGAAGAGTAGCTGATACTTCCCATCTTCCTGTTTAAGAGCTCAGAAGCTTTCCTTGTCCATCATTTGCTGAAACCGTGAGATTATGACTACTTACACTGACAACTTCCGTGACACAGGCACTTGAGTCAAGTCAGCAAAATCATACACTAAAATACGTTTTGCATCTAGGCCAATAACGTGGGCAGGAAAGTAGGCGATACCGTCTTGTCCCACACAAAGGTGCCGAATGGTGGGAGTCTCTGGCCTACCTCCAGCATGCAGGTGCTGCTGCCAGGTGCCCAGTGCAAATTTGCACTCTCCTTTTTCTGACATCAGCTTCCAACCATCAGACCTTAATTTGTTTTTTTTCAGCTAGATTAAAGAACCTTGTTACTCTCCTCTGTCTTTTCTCTGCCTGACTCATTACGGATCACCAAGTTGTCTTTTAATCTTGCCTTCAGAAGAAGAATTCAACTCCTTTCAGTGCTTGCACTATTGAGAGTATTCCTGAGGGATGATGTGACTCTCAGGAGGAATGTATGTACAGAGCAGATACCCATGGCGGTGGGCACCTCGGTAAACACCTGCACGGACAGCCCTGTGAGCACTCCCTTGCAGGGCTGTGGCAGCTCCATTCATCATGCAGTCTGCACACAGAACATGCCAGATGTGTGAGGCACACAAGCAGGGAGTAGAAAGAAGTGAGGGAAGAAAGAATGGTTTTCTCTTGTACTTTAAGAGCTTCTTGTGTTTCTTGTGACAGTAGTAAATGTGTAACTTTCAGGTTAATTTTGTGTGGCGTGCGTCATTTGAAATGGCCTGCTGAAAGATAGGCGTCAAGTGAATGGGAGAGGCAGAAAGGAAGTTAGGTTTGCTGATTTTGGGCCACTTGAATAGCTACTAGCTTCTCATTGCCTTTTTTATTTTTGCTCTTGCCCATCACAGTGCAGCCTCTCACTGCACGCCTCTTGCAAGAGCCATGCAGGAAACATTGTTCCATTGTTTCCCTGAGAAAAGAGGGAAAACAAACATTTAAGAGAAACAACCACACAACCTTTGCTCTGACTCGTTGCTGAGCCCGAGGGTTGCACCTCATTTACATATAAATGTGCCCAGGATTTTAATCAGGGATTAGCGCTCTGTTGTTATTTTTCACTTACAGTGCTCATAACGCCCGTGATGCTTTGCAGATTGCGTAGGACAAATGGATTGTGAGGAATGCGGCTGAGAGGTACCCACGGCACCACTGGCCGGATGGATTGCTGGTTTATTTCCGAGGGTGCCAGGAGCCCGAGGAAGTGCTGGCTTCAGTCCTTCAGGGATGCTGTAAAATGAGGCAGTTCTCTCTGAGGGGGTTGTAAAGGGCTGGCATAGAGCCTGCTTACTTGGATTTCAGCTGCCCCGTGTAGAATGGCAGTATTGCCTCTGTAATGTGGCGTCCCGGTGGACAGCAGCATCTGTTTTTCTGCCTGGTTCATGAATGCGTCTGCAAAATTGTGAACTTCTTTTGTAATCACTTTGAAATGTTCAGGATCTCTGCTGATGCCTCTTACTTCTTGCTTTGTTTAGCTAGGGTGTCGTTGCCTTAGTCATGTTTCTCTTCAAATTAACAGGCAGCTGGGATGAGCGAATCACAAAAACAGTCCATAAAAAACCTTCCAAAGTTTGTCTTCTTTTCTGCCCTAATTTACCTGAAAAAAAAGCCACTCTTTTGTTATCTATTAATATCAAAAACCTTCGAAATAGGGAGGTTTGGGGTTTTTTGTTTGTTTGTTTGTTTGTTTAATTTACTTAGACTATCATAGAATCATAGAATCATTAAGGTTAGAAAAGACCACTAAGGTCATCCAGTCCAACTATCAGCCCACCTCCCCATGCCCACGCACTGCATCCCTGGATGCCACATCCGCATGGTTCCTGAGCACCTGCAGGGATGGTGGCTGCACACCTCCCTGGGCAGCCTGTGCCAGTGCCTCACCACTCTTGCTGAGAAGAAATTTTTCCTAATACCCAACCTGAATCTCCTCTGGCACAACTTTAGGCCATTACCTCTCATCTGATTGCTGTTACCTGAAAGTACTGGCCGACCTCTGTCTCACCACAACCTCCTTTCAAGGAGTTGTAGCAAGCAATAAGCTCTCATTTTGTGGTCTTATCCAGAGATATTCTCATCTTTTCTTACACTTTCACTCTGCTAACCTGAGGTACCCCAAGGCCAACCCACAGACACCCACAGGCAGTGTTTTGCAGCTCAGACACCGGCACTGTTGGCATTTTTCCTTTCATGCCATACTGATGAAGAAACAGTAATAATAATTTATTGTTGCCATTAGTCTTCAGAGTTCACCCCTCATCTGAAGATAAAATTTGACATCTATTTAGAAGGTGTCACCCATATATATGGGTTAAATACTCTTGTGTGCATTCTTGTGGATGTGAACTACAGCCCCATAGCCAGGAAGGCAGCATGGACAAGCTCTGTGCAGGTCATTCAAGTGGAAGGGAAGGGTGCTCCCAGTGGTGACACAGGGTCCCCACCTGGAGAACCTGAAAGGGAGAGAAGACTTTCTTCTTTATTTATCAAGCTGCTGTGTGTTGACAGGTGAAATGACAAGACATATTGAGCAAAAGAAATTAATCTGTATCTGAGACCTTTTAATAAATCAAAAGTAAAACGAAGAATCAGTGTAGCAGCCCCGCTGGCAGCTGCTAACACTTGTTTCATGATCCTATCTGTCTGAAATACACAAATGGAAAGGAATTGTTGCCAGGAGTCATAAAATGAAGGAAAAACTCAGAAGATAGATTTATTAGCATCTCAATTTTGGTGCAATTCAGCTTCATAAACAGAGGTTAATCTGCTAAAACCTTCCTTGCTCTCACTGGGGGAAAACCCCACTCATTTCAGTTTGTGTTTAAAGATCTAAAATAATTCTTCGTGTCGTCTGAATAAATCAACATCTCAAGAAGCAGCACTTTTTGCCCACGTGGACTTATTTATTTATTTCCACAATATGCTGTTTATTATAGGCTCTTCTCATCCCTGCGATGTAATTTCTCTTCTGGACTTGTAGGCATTTTCATCACACTTCACTACATATTTCACCCATGTTTCTACAGAAAGTCATTATGTAGCACAGCCGGCTGCTGACAGGAATATTTAGAATGCTCTGCCTTTATCCTACAGTGCTATGTTGTTCACCTTTGTTGGGTGAATAATATATCTCTGACCTGATGTTTTGGAAAAAGACCTGAGCCCGTATGTGGCTCAAACTGGCACTGCTCCTTCTTCCTTTCTCTCTGTATAGCTGATAAAGCTGTAGGAAAATACCTGCCAATTCAAACTAGTGTTAAAAGCTTAGTAGAAAAAATCTAAACTTGAAAAAAAAAAAAAAAAAGGAAAAAAAAAAGCATGTCCTAGAAGACCAACACAAGTAGACTGTTCAGTGGCCCTGTGCTGCCTCCTGTCCAGCAGATTTGAGTGGGGACATGAGGAGCTGGAGCCTGACTCCTAGGAACTGACAGCATCCCTTCTGCTTAGGGATCTTCTGTCTCACGATGAGAGTGGTACTCCCCGAGGAGGAAAGTTACCTTTTCTGCCTCTTGCTGCTGCCCCTCGTACCAATGATGCAGTAAGTTCACTAGTAACTTCGACCAGAGGATGGGTTCTGCTGTCCAGGGAAGTTTTCTCCAAGGCTGTTTAGATCATTCGGTGTCTAAAGCTTTATCAGAATATCAAATCCATTCCATCCCCTGATGGCTCATGATTACAGGGCAGACATTTTCATGGCTTCTCTTCAAGAAATGTAATAGACTTTCCAGTTGGCTTTTAAACCAAAGGTCATGGCTGTGTCCAGGGTCATAAATGGAATAATTGCTAGTTTCTCAAAAGCCAGATTTGATGCATAAGTTGTTGGACAGGACCTGAGGAGTAATGCAGATGAATTACAGCTGAACTGCAGATAGTGAATTAAGAAAGGTTCCCAGCATCCTGCACCCTGCACTGCTAAGCACCCAGAGCCTCTCTGCTGCGTGCTGTTGCAGGCTGGGGGTTCTGAAGCGTCATCTGTGCCTACTATGGGATCCCTAAAGCCTCTCTAAGGCCTCATAGAAAATTGCAGAACAGTCTGATTCTTAAAAAAAATAAAATAAGACAAAAAAGACACCTTCATTGCTAGCACTGATCATAGAACTCTGGTTTCCTCCATATTTATTTGTGCAATTTATAGCCAATGGTGAGCTCCTTCCCTATCAAGGTTTGTACAAGCTTGCATCGCCAGCAGAAAGGGAAGGCACTGCTTTTGTTACTCAGCTGCAGCCCCGGCATGGAACTGGTTATGGCATTAGGACACTTACGAAGAACCATCTTTCTCAGTGCAAAGGGCTGAGATATTGAGCAGGTTTCAGGAATCAATGGCTGAGATTCTTTATGTGCACATATTTAGTTTTGTAAGGTTGGAGCATTAAAAAATCTGCACGCATTTCTGTCAAACAGCCAAATCAAAATAGATGTGGTTTTTCATTGATCCTATTCCTGAGATCCTCTGCTTGCTGTTTTCCCACAGGAGTTATCTACACAGCAGATGTCCTTGACCGGGAGACAACCAAATCCTACTGGCTGACGGTGTATGCCACTGACCACGGGGTTGTCCCGCTCTATGCTACCATCGAAGTCTACATCGAGGTGGAGGATGTGAATGACAATGCCCCGCTCACCTCTGAACCCATCTACTACCCATCCGTCATGGAAAACTCGCCAAAGGATGTATCTGTCATTCAGATCCAAGCCCAGGACCCTGACTCCAGCACTAATGAAAAACTGGCATACCGGATTACAAGTGGAAATCCCCAGAATTTCTTTGCAATCAATCCCAAAACAGGTAAGAAAATCCTGCTGCCTTATGGTGGTCAGGAAATGCTATTCAGTTATTTATGGGCTTCGAGATCTGTTGATGGTGCATTGCTTTCTTAAGATGTGTTTTCTTCTTAGTTATGTGCCTGAAGCATCTTCCTGTGCACTTGTAAATGAGCACACGGCAGCTGATGCTGCTGCAATGATCACTCTCGTGTAGGTCACTGAATAGCTGCTGGCTGTGGCCTCTTTTCTGTGTCTGTAGGGATGAGACTTTGCTGAGAAGTGCTGGGAGGCAGATTCAAGCTGTTGTATACCATGAAGCAGAGCCTCATGCTTTGTAACGCGTTGTGGCTCTGCTGAAGTGAGTGGCAGCACACTTGACAAGCACCTGTAATTAGGCTGTCTGTTACAGTAGCCGGATGCAACTGTACAGGTTGTTTCATATAAAAAGACAATGCAGATGATCTAAAAATTCTTTTGGCCTTAAAAGGAACCTATGGGGCTGTGGTTGGCTGTCCCAGCCCCACTATGCTGGAACAGCCCTGGGCATCGCCGCGCCCTCATTGCCACCCTTGGGCTGTTCAGGTGAGGATGCAGATGTCACCCAATGTCATGGGTGCTCCATTGGATGTCTGCCTGTGTTTGACCACCAGCAGTCCTCATTCCAGCATTTGCCTCATTCCACCATCTGCCTTGCTCGTGGTCTGTACGGGGAGGCATCTGACCTAACATTGTGGGCTGAAGAGCCAAGGGGATTGGGCTGATCTGTGTCACAGTAGCTCAGAGGATTGATGCAGTTCTCATGCTCCTGGTTTTGGTCTGAGCTTTTGACTTCTTTTTTTTCCAAGTTTATTTATATCTGCTGCAAATTTCTAAGTGGCTAGAGAAACAAAAGGAATACACCTGAAAGGGAATACTTATACTGTGGTATAAAAAAATTATATTCATGAAAGAACTTTTCACCATTTGGCTGGGCAAGCCTAATGCAGTGTGTAGCATAAGAAGGGGTCGGGATCATTCAGGCACAAGCCCAGGTGAAGAAATCGTAGAGCATGTGTATTCACTTTGTTCAATCTGGTGAGCCCTAAGGCACATATCTCACTTATTTTTAACACTTGAAATGGTCAAAGATGGCTCTTCCATCTGCATCCTTTCCCTTCCTCCCCCAGCCCTAGAAATCCCATATGGACAAAATAGCAGAGTTAGGACTCTGCCATGTTTAATGCATGCACATCCCTGCCATCGGCTCCTACTGTAGAGCATCCTGCTCAGCACAATTCCACTTATCCACACAGCTTTGGATTTCAGTGTCACGTACCAGAGGTGGGTGCTCGATGCTGGCTGCTTCCAGCGGTACAGGGTGTGGGGTTGCTCCTTCTGCTGGAGCAGATTGTGCCAGACTGAGAGCATCACCCTATTGAATTGCAGTTAATGCTGAGGATGGTTCAACTTCATTTTGCACTGAGAAAATTCTAAGAACTAAAAGGCATCAGCATGGTTAACATTTTACTGTTTGGGCAACCCGGCCCCCATTGCATTAGGTGAGGCTCCCAGCCAGTGCCTGACTGCATGAGGGAATAAATCATCCCCTTCCATCCAGCCCACTTGGTGCCAAACACAGAGCGGTGCGAGCTGCCAAGGCTGCCCCTTCTCTCTTGTTTATTTTCCCTTTGATCAGGCTGATGAAGTGTGTGCACTCTGAAGCCCCTTGTCCCAAAAAAGAGTTCTGTCACTTGAACAGAAGGATTTTGTCTTCCCTTGTGAAGTACTGAAGCATGGCGAGTTTTGCCCTCCCTCTGCTCAGCTTAGAGCCTTCCTCCCGACAGGAGGCTGGCGTCCCAGGAACAAAAGGCTGATGGGTTTGCCGAGAAAACATCCCCAAAATCTTCAGCCAGGACTTTCCTGCAGGGCATTACCTTTGCTAACGCAATGATTTAGGCTCGGTGACTTTGCACATGCAGAAGAGATTTGTAGTGTGCCGGCTCAGCGTGCTTGCTGGGACTCGGTGACACTATAACTCATGGAGCACTTTGCACAGCAGCCGTAAATGTGGCAATGTGCTGTATAATCAAGATTAAAAGGTTTAATGTGAACCCAAATATGTGATGATGGAAGGGAGTGTGGGTTGAGTGAGAGCAGTCATTTGTTAGAAAGGATCTTTTATTTTCTTTGTTGGTTTGAGAGTTCAAACAGCGCCAGCAAACTGACACCTTTCTGCTGTGACTCACCGTGTCTACAGGCAGCATGAAGGCCCTGACACAAAATTTTTACGACCTTTTCTGGGATGCAGGAGAAGTTGGCCTCAACTGGAGAGAGGAAGTTCTGAAGCATTTGGGTGCTTTTATGGCAGTCAGATCTGTTTCTCCTCCAGTACTCCTTGTATGCTTTGTCTGTAGGTACAAGAAACCTTTTAATAGAAAACCTGTAACTTCCTACATTATACATAAAGTTCTGGAACCCCCAACACAAGAAGGGTGTGAGCTGTTGGAGCAGGTCCAGAGGAGGGCCACAGAGATGATCAGAGGGCTGGAGCACCTCTCCTATGGGGACAGGCTGAGAGAGCTGGGACTCATCAGCCTGGAGAAGAGAAGGTTCTGGGGAGACCTTATAACAGCCTTCCAGTACCTGAAGGGGGCCTACATGAAAGCTGAGGAGGGACTTTTTATAAGGACAGATAGTGACAGACCAAGGGGAAATGGGCTTAAACTGGAGGAGGGTAGATGTAGACTAGATTTCAGGAAGAAATCCTTGACTGTAAGGGTGGTGAGACCCTGGAACAGGTTGCCCAGTGAGGCTGTGGATGTCCTCTCCCTGGAAGCATTCAAGGCCAGGCTGGATGTGGTGTGTGCAACCTGGTCTAGAGGGAGGTGTCCCTGCCTATAGCAGGGGGTTAAAACTACATGATCTGAAGGGTCCCTTCCAACCCAAAGCATTCCATGATTATAGACTGGCCCAACGCTGGATGGGTATTTTAAATATGATGGACTGCAAGTAAACAGCGTGCATTTGGACCTGTTTGGTAAATCATAGAATATCCTGGGTTGGAAGGGTCATTGAGTCCTGGCTCCACATCAAAGAGCATTGTCCAATTGCTCCTTGAACTCCAGCAGCTCAGGGCTGTGCCCACAGCCCTTTGGTGCAGAACCTTTCCTTCAGCCCCACCTGATGCAGCTCTGTGCCATTCCCTCGGGAGCAGAGAGCGGTGCTCAGCACTGCCCCTCTGCTCCCTGTGAGGAGCTGCAGCCGCCATCAGGCCTCCCCTCAGCCTGCTCTGCTTGGCGTTGCACAAACCAGGGGACCTCAGCCACTCTTTATATGTCATTTACCCTCTAGACATTTTGCAGCCCTCCTTTGAACTTTCTCTAATAGCTTTATGCCCCTTCTATATTTTGGTGCCCAAAACTGCACCCAGTGCTTGAGATGAGGCTGCCCCACATAAAACAGAGAGAAACAGTTGCTCCCCTAGGAGCCAGGGTCTGCCAGAGCTGTGAAAGGGTCTGCTGCAGAGCTGTGAAAGCAAGACCAGCACACCACCAGCATCCCACCTCTGCTGAGGATGCAGATGGGACTTGGGGGCTCTGCTAGATCATGTTTGGGGTTTATAGAGGTTGTTTGGGGTCTGAGCCATGTGTCTGTGGATGGGGTTGGAGTTAGGATGGGAACGCACATAGCCCTACCTTGTGCAGCTAACTGCTGTCATCTCATGGGAAGGTCTTTGTTTTCTCACCTCTATTTTCTTTCCTAGCACACAGCCAAGCATCATTCTGCGTCTCAGAGCATGCTTTTATCTTATGAGCTGATATTCATAGGTACAAGCACTAAGTGAATAATGGCACACATGAGTATGTGTGAAACCATAAATCACCCACACTCCTGAACAAGGGAGCCTTGTTCTGCAGCCTGCTGGAGCCTACTTCTACAGCTCAGGGTCCAATTCAGCAAATCAGGATTTTCTTTAGTTTTACTGGGCAAGGGGTATTGTCATACATATTTTTCTGAGGGGGTGGTTAAAGTGTTTTTCAAATAGCTGAGAATGACTCTGATGGTTACATTACTACAGGGAAAGGCATAGTGATTTCTGTGCTTCTTTTTCTCAGTGACATCTTGCACTCAGCAGGGATGGATGAGTTCTCACTGTCTGGTACACTGCCTGCCTGTCATCAGGGTCAAGCTAACACCTGGTGGGGTTGATGTAGAACTTGGGCTTTCCCTTCTTACCTTGACTGTTGTGCAGGGGAGGACTTGATCTCTGCATTTAGCTCGTGCAGTTGGAGGAGCAGCACTGGTAAGGGCTGGGATTTGGGGCTGTAGCCAGGGACCAGGCATGCAGAGGGACTGAGCCCACGGGATGCCATGGCAGCTCCCAGCCTGGTGAGTTATTTCAGGGTGAGAAGCTAGTGGAAGAAGGTAAATAAAACGTGTGATGGAGTTATAAAAAAATGATTGATTAGAGCCGTAAATTCTTCTTTTATTTCACGTATATGGGTGTTAATTTCACAGAACAGCACAGTGATAATTTACTGCATTGATTTATTAGTTTTTGTGCTCTGAAGAAAATAATGAATTTTAATTCAAACCACTACATTCTTTTTTTTTAGAGTTCCACATATATTGGACAAACCCAATAAAGTTCTCTTCAGCCTTATGTTGATTAAATGATATTTTAACTAACACTCCAGCAGACCATACTTAGCTCTCACACACAGTGATTCTGTTGATGTTTTTGAGTTTACATTTAAGCTGGTCTGTCTGAGAATGTTGTTTATACCTGGCTTTGGCTCTTGCTGGTCATGTTTAACAAAGACAGATCCCTGGCATTCCCAAAACAGTATTTGCTGAGGCTTTAAAGCACATTGAACTAGTGGGGTTAGAAACTGTGCGTGGAGGTCAATGTATCATTTCAGAGCAGCAATTCTCAGCTTCTGGAAGTTGTCTCTGAACTGTCACATCAAGATTTGACAGAGACCGGATGTTTTCGGACTGAAGTAATATTAATATTTACATAAGCTAATTTGGGAGTAGTGA